TCTGCCTGCACCTTTCCGCTATGCGTTGTCTACGGCGCAGGATGTTATTATCATAGGTTAAATTAATAGCAAATTAGAAATAATTATTAGCGTTACAATTGTTTCAAATGACTTTCCTTTATTTTAAAATAGAAACCTTTTAAAAGATGTTGAAGAACGGTAAATGTCTAAAACCAGATCAAATTTTAAAATTTGAATACATGGGTGAATATATTGAGATGTCCCCCCAGTGAAAATGATTATTTTTTATTTTTGGTTGTTTCACTGTTAGTCTAGAATGGGGTTTTTGGGAAGCCACCAGGTCTAGTAATAACATAACATAATTACTTAAGTGGTTCTGCACTAATGCAAGAATTTTAAGAAATCATACATTTTGAATATTAGATCTTCTCGGAAGATATCTTCACGGAGGTTAGGATTTTGTATGTTTTTTTTAACCTTTGTATATTTAAAATAAGTTATTGTATCTTTTGACACCTTAATATTTTTTTAAAATACAATTGTACATACTTAAAATATTTATAAAAAATCTACTTACTGAGATATTACACTTCACGGTGGATAGGTTTTTAAATAGCAAATTAATGAACTAAAACTTTTGAATTATTAAACAGCAACACTCTCATCTGCATATAAATTCTAACTGACCTTCAGGAATCACATGCATCTATAATGTTGTAAATAGAGGTTTTTGCTTATTTAAAATGATTAAAGCGCCATCCGTTGCATAAAATTTAAAACAAAAACAGATTCACGGAGGATAGAATCAATTTTTGTAACACCTACATAAATGGTTATAAAAATTATTTCTTTTAATTTTTAATGATATTTTATATTCGATTCGATTGCTTTGGATGTGTTTAATTTACTTAGTGAACTGATATTTTTAGTATGCTTTTACTACCTCAGATATTTGAAAACATATAGGTTAACCTAGAAAGAGTAACAGTCACGGAGAATATGTTTTAGACTTTTAAAACATTGTAAAAAATAATTAATTGCGGTTAAAAATCTGGAACCTGAGCTGTAATATCTACTTAATTATATATCAAAACACAATAAAAGTGTAGGTCAAACTCATCGGGGGACATTTCATGAGATTTACCCACATATATTATTTATTGAATTATAAAAATTGGTAAATGCAAAAAAATGATACCCTAAAAATTTTTTTGCCAGCACCTTTTCCGGTATAAGGGCCCCTACCAGATTTTTGATACAAGGCCCCCTTGAGGCTAGCTACGCCACTGATGGGGATACCTAAAAATTAACTTTGCTTTAAAAGAAATAATAGTAAATAAAAAAACTAACCTAACCAAACATGCCTCCTTACCTGTATTTTGATTTTTCCCTAGTATTGCCATTTGAGCAATTAATTTGCTTCCTGCCGATATTTTCACACCACACAAACAATTTCGCCAATTCTGCTATCTTCCCGATTTACAGGCATTGAAGAGAATCACGGATTAGTATATTCTTTTTACGTACTTTCGACCTACGCCACGAGTCCCTACAGTTTGGCAACATCGCTGGGTCTCGGGACGTTGGTTGAATATGGTTATGCAGTATAAACGGGCGCGAAAAGTCGGTAAAATGATGCAGGTTTAAAAAGTGTTATTCAGTTTGCAACTTTTTTTGTAAAAAGAGGATCAAGTGGGTCTTAGGTAGCCTGTATAGTGTACCGGGACTGAAAACGTGGACCGGATAGATATATATATATATATAATATAAGTTTAATTTTATTTCAATGTTTTTTTCATGGATAACTTGACAGAATAAATTTTTGTAATAACTGTAGCACAAGTGTATTGGGCCAATATTGGAACAACTAAATATAGTAATACTATAATGGCCCAATATTGCAGCAAATATTGAAATAATATTGGATGTCAACATAAACACCATAATGAATCCCGGGATTGGCCAATGTCTGCACCATAATGGATGTCATTACTGATACAACATTGCATCTTAAAATTCGCTCTATATAGCTACAAAATTCGATAACAATACATTGTAAATATATTGTACCAATCTTACAATTCAATATTGTCCAATAATGTTACACTTTGAAGGCCCCTTTATTTTATGTTGTGTTCACCAATTTTTTTTAAACTGTCCCTTTCCTTTCCCCTGTCCGAATACAATAGGTATAAAGAATTTAATTTCTGTATATAGTATTGGGCTATGGAGAAGGGGAGGGGAAAAATGGTGAATACAATATAAAATAAAGAGGCTATCAGGGGCTAATAAAGTGTAACAAAAAATGGGCAATATTGAGTTGTAAGATTGGTACAATAGAGGGTGATTCTTAACTTATACGTATAAACTTGTAAAATTATAGCCAAGAACCAATAATGACCAATAATGAAAAAAATGTAGCAAACAAAAATCCAAAAACTATATTAATATTACACTCGTTATGCCAGAATTTCTATGTAAGCATAAAGGAACAAACATGACTGTGTATTTTGCCACAAAATAAACTGTTTGTGGTATTATTGTTGGGTAAAAATGTCCACTTACGTTAAGTTCCTGAAGTTCTCGTAAAGAAAGCACACACAGCACATAGCACAAACCGACAAATAAATTAACAAATTATAACTTAAAATAAATACGCAACAACAACCTCTTATAGTATAAGATGGCCGCGTCCTGGCGCACTTCCAATGCGCACCACATGACAGCCGGCTGATTTGGCGCTAGTTCAGGGCATAGAGTCTATGGTTCAGGGGTGTTCCTGAAACTTTGCAAATTGTGCAGCCATCTAGCGTGAAATTGTACTAAGATCAAATTGTACTAACTTATCTCGAAAATTAAAAACTTGTCCAAATTTAATTAATATCAGATTTCTGCTCCCAGAATCACCATTGCCTACGTAAAATTATAATAAATATACTACTAGCGCTTTGGTTTTTCTTATGAAAAATCTACCAACTGAGTTTAGTTGTGTAATTATTTAGAAAGTTCAGAAGATAATTAATAAACAGCTAAAAATACTAACCTGTCCATTACATCCACTATCACATCACAGATTCACAGAGTGCCGACGCCGACAGCTTGTCGGCGTCAGCAACAGGATTTATAGGTTAGGTTAGTGATGACTTGACGTTGACATTTGACGCCTTGCGCCATATTCTAGAGGTGGGCTGTTCGATACGATACGTATCGATACAAGTGATACGAACGGGATATCGTTAGAATCGATATAAATTTATGTATCGAATACATTGTATCGATTATTTAGCTAATTATAATTCATAATTATGAAAAGTCCTTAAAATGCCATATATGAAAATTTGATTTTGCGGTTATACCGTATTTTTATTAACCGAAATTTTGGAAGTTTGTTCGATCAAGGCTGACAGTTGGTATTGCAGCTGACTTTTAAGTGGCTATCACAAAACTAGTTTTGACTTTGGTTTGGTACTTTTTCTGGGAACAACACGTAAGGTCTAAACTCGTTCGAACTAAAATTTAAAAGCACAAATGTTGTGTGGATTGTCCTTTTTCTTTGGTTTGGTTTGTTTAAGTTATTTCAAGTTATTTTAAGTTTACATTGTAAACAATTGCAAAACAAATTGCAAATTTTCATATACCTATATTTTTTTTCGTTACCTTCCTAATAATTAAATTCATTTAATAAAAGATTTTATCTTTCGTTCCATTTTTTTTTTAAATCTAACCGTATCGTATCAAAATTGTATCGATATAAGCGATATTTTGAAAATTATATCGATAACGTATCGATACGGCTTCTGTATCGAACAGCCCACCTCTACCATATTCCCATAGATCATACAAGGGGATCCCATAGATCATACTTGTATGATCTAAGCATATTCCCTCCTAAGAAGATTATACAGGGTGTCCGGGAAAATGTGGGAAATATCTCGGGAAAATGTGGGAAATATCTCGGATTCAGATAAGATGACGCGTTCCTTTAATTTTTTTTCCTACTGGTCCTCCTTACATGGGCCCCGAAAGGACGCCGCTGCAAATTGGTTTTCATTGAATAACTTTTAAAGTACTGAATATAATTTAATAAAAATTTAATATGATGGACCCTGGTAAGGATCTCTTAAAAAAATGTCCTTGAAATATTTTTTGCTTTTTTTGTTTACCAGTGGCGGACTAAGTTTTACACCTTAATGCTGAAATTTTAAACACCCAGTATGACAAAGACTTAAAAAAAACTAAATCTGCATAGCTTGAACCTTAAACTAAAATAAAGGTACTCTTGTTTATTGTCAATAAAATAAACCGTTTTCGAGAAAAAGAATAATAAACGAATTCATGTTTTATTTTTAATAAAAAGGACCATAAAAAAAATAATATACTTAACTTATTGTTGCAAACCTTAAATTGAAGGACGATAATTCGAAACAACATAGTCTATGGAAACAATGAATTAAAAACTTTATAAGAGGGTTCAAGATGGGCTCCGTGAACTCTGATACATTACCCACAATAACCCAGCATGGTTTCTTATCATATCACAATGAAACGTGATTATCTGTAGAAGTTCCTCACTAGTATCGATCGGAGTGGAATACACCAAGTTTTTTAGGTGTCCCCATAGGAAAAAATCCATCAGTGTAAGGTCGGGAGATCGAGGAGGCCAGTCAATAGTCAATAGGTCTTCCTATCCAACGGTTTGCATAAACGTTATTCAAGTGCTTCCGCACAGCAACGCTGAAATGAGGTGATGCCCGGTAGGTAATAATCAGTTTTTTGTCTTTTCAAAGGATGTTGGTTTTTACTTGGTTATTATTCCGGGATCTTAAATTGAACTTTCCTGCGTTTTCCCAAAAAACAGGACTAGAACGTAAATTTTAGCGCGTTTTTAACGGTTATCTCTTTAGTGCTTTTAAAAGTGTTTTAAAAACATTTCTTATATATTTAGGTAGGTAGGTAATACAACAATGTGAATTTTTAAAAAATATTTACAAACAACCTGTATATTTAAAGGATTTTGTGGATAATAAATTTTTTGGAGTTAATAAAATAATTTTTATTGATTTTAAATAGGTATTTGTCAGTGCAGTATAAAAAATTTAATTTTTATATAAAAAACATGTTTATTCTTTTTGCGTTATACCAGTGCTTATTTCTGTCAAATCACCAGGTTTAAATATTCCTTTGGGTAAAAATCCAATAAGATTTTGATAATGCTGTTTTAACATGTTCATTCTTTCTTCTTCTATTACTTGTAATCTACGATAAAAAAAATATATTTATACAAAAATTAATTGCACCATTATGAGTATACCTCTTTTGGTTGGTGATTTCTTCCTGCTCTCGTAATAATTTTTGTATTTGAAGGTCCTCAGCACGTTTTTGTCTTTTATCAAACATCATTTGTTCAACATCTTTTCTTATTTGTATAGCTTTCAATCTTCTCTTCTGATCAGAAAGTTGTTCGAGTTTACTTTCCTCCATATGTTTTTCCAGCATCTATAAAACCATTTTATTATTTTTTATAAACAAATTCAATTTTTTTACCTCTCTTTTGAATTCCGCATCCAACACAGCTTCTTGTTGTTTGCTTTCAATTCTTTGTTCCATTTGCCTCATAAGCGATTCTCTTACATCAATTTTGGTTCTAAACTCCTTTTCCATTTTTTCTTTGTGTTTTTTGTCGGACGCTTCCTGCATTTCTTCCAATAAAAGTTCTTGTAACGCATCCTCTTTCTTCTGTTTTTCGATCTGCAAAAATTACTATGATTATAATCATCAATGGTTTTAGAAACATATTAATACAAAATAAGGGAAAACGTTCTTGTACCTATTTTTTTTATATGGGATACAAAGTAAAAGATTTTATTTGCAACAAATCAAACCAAAAAAATTAAAACTCTTACTCCCTGTAAAAGTAAGATCATACTAGAATACAGAATGTTCAAACCCTAAAAAATTATAATGGTTAGCAACACAAAAACATAAACTAGTGTTTGTCAACCAAATAACTTAATATTTGATGCTATCAAATTCGATACCAACAAATGGATGGCATCGATGACACACTCTGTATAATCCCCACGGAAACAAAATTGTCAACTTATTTTTCATTAACTTCTTTACATAATTCTTACAAAAAAATAGTCAAACATGACTTTCGGTACGATATTGGATACGTCCATGGACCCAATGGAAGAAACAAGATTCAAGAAAAAACATTCCGTGTTGATAAATCAATTGGCGAGAAAAACCCATTTTGACGTCCAGGAAGTCGAAACGCTATTGGTAATTTATTACAAACTCCAAAAAGACGGTCCAGAAAAACAGATGGGGGTTAATAAAAGTCAGTTCCGAGATTTCTTGCATAAATGTTTAAACATGACTGATGACTACTTAATGGACAAAATCTTTTTGGCAGTGGATAAAGGACCCGTGCAATATCTTTCCATGGAAACTTGGATCACGACTTTGTCGCTTTTTCTCAGAGGAACTCTTGAGGAGCATATTATTTTTTGTTTTAGTGTAAGTGTTTTGAATATTTATATGAATGTTAAAAAATGTATGTCGCCCATCTTATCTTTAAGGTATATGATATGATGGGTGAAGGTATTTTGGGTAGGGAAACAATGTTTAATTTGTTGAGAACATCAATAATTGGCCAGACTGAAGAAGACTCTGAAGAAGCTGCTAAGGTATGTTAGCTTTTCAGAAAACATGTGCCATAGACAGATAAGATTCCTTATCCCCAGACAAAAAATTGCTAATTTATTAAAAATAAATACATAGTAAACAAATTTTCTTAAATTAAAATATAATATTATAAACTGAACATTGCAACTATACTTTTACAAAACGCTGAAATATAGAATATTTTGATTCTTTATTTTAGAAGATTTTCGTTAAATATAGACGACATTAAATATAGAAGGCCTGGCAACCCTAATTAAACCTCTGACATGACCTTTATTTTGAAAGAATAAATTAATAAAATTTGAATAAAAATCCTTTCGATATTTCACACATGTCAAATGACACTACGAATGCTACGTTATTGTAAATAATGACAGATAGCAGATGTAAGGTTATTTTGTTTCGTATGGCTCATTTTTGATATCTGCCTGGGATATCCATTAATTTAAAATTGGGGGAGGGGTCTAGCAAAATCTCACCAAATCTTATTTTAAGGGAGGGGGGTCATTAAAAATTTCACGTCAACTTTTGAGTTTATAAAATATGTATTATAATTCAAATTTGTAAAAAAAAAATCATTTTTTTATATGTTGTCTGCAAAGAAAGTTTAATGGCTAAAATCTCACGTGAGGGATAGGTCTACCACATCTCACCAAATCTCTCCAAGGGGGAGGGAGGGTTCCAAATTATCAGAAAAAGCCTCACGTAATTAATAGATTTCCCCTTGGCTCATTTTAAACATGGACTATTTTCAACACCGGTAACCTGGCATTTTTGACATTTGTCAGCTGTAGTTTTTTAAGCACGACTAGTACTTAGATTTTTTTCTTGGCTCCTAGGCGAAAAGCCAAGAATTTTTTTCTGGAAGTAGTGGTATCTTTAAAACACATGAAAATTTCAAACATGTGGTCCTTATGCAGAAAAAAAAAAGTTTTTTTTGGCAAATGCAACGATCATGCAAAAATAAAAGAAATATTTAAAAAATTACAATTATTAATTTCTCTGTAATTAATTATAGTGGAACCTTCAAAGCTAAGATTGTTATCCTAGCCTATACAGGGTTACTTACCCTGGCGAAAATGAAATGTGCAAAAAGTGTTCAAAATTATTTGAGAACAATGTGCCAACAATGAGCAATCTTAAAAAAAAATTATGTGCGGAGGGTGGGAAATGGAACATGAAACAATGTGCAAAACCAAAAATTTAAAAGTGTGAATAATCACTGGACAATGTTCTAAAGGGAACTCCTTTTTTTTCACATTGTTTGCCCACTGATTCTTGCCACCTGTGTGCCTATTACAAAAACAGATTCTTTTTGGTGACCTATAAAGTTTTTTAAATTTACACATAATTGAAATATAAATATTAGGGTGTTTCAAAAAAATCGACTTTTTCTTTTTCTTCAAATAGTCAGCAAATTCTTTCAGAGGATGTCAAAACAAAGACCTCGTTAAAATTTGAGCTTTTAATTTGAAGATTTAGAGGTCGCGGATCGCAATTTTCTATTTCCCATTTAAATAACATAGGAAATTTTTTTTTTTAACTTTGGAATTTTATACGTCTATATCGAATCAACTTATGGCAAGGAACATCTTGGATTTTTATAGTAAATTTAAAGCTCTATAAAAAATGTCTCTTATAATTTTTCTATAAATTTATTTCTTCCAGAGTTATTCGAGGCCAAAGTTTGATTTCCATCGAATTTTCTCGTTTTTTTCAACTTTTAGCATCATGTAGAAAAAAAATCACATATTTATATCTAAAACATAGGAAGTGTTGTAAAAAAAACAAAAAAAAACAAAAAAAGTCACTTTTTTCCAAAGCCTACTACAAAGTTTTAATGAAAATATGAGATTTGTATAATATGCAAAGTAATTTATTTATAAATGCATTTTTCTCGAAAATGGTGCATCTGAGCAATTCAAATCAAGAGTAACTATTTTTCGTAAAAAACTATAAATTCTCATAATTTCATAAAAAAAATTAAATTATTAACCCAGAAAAAAGTTGGGGCTATTTTTGTAACTTTGCCCCCTCCAAATGTTACGCCTATGATTAAATTTTAACAGTTTTGATCATAGATCTAGATTCAGCATGTCAAAATTACCAAAGTACCTACCGAAAATTCATTTGTTCATGTTCAACCCTCTAGGAATAGTTTTAAAAAAATTATCCTCTTAGGCTCCTATTCAGGGGCCCGTAGCACCTTTAGGGAGCATTTTTTGATACATGTTTATTAAACAAAAAAGTGTTATTTTTATACGAATAATGCACTGTTTAAGTTTGCCCCCCCCCGACACCCGTATAATGATAATTGAACCATAAATGTTAAAAAAACGCGAAAATTCGATGGAAATAAAACTTTGGCCTCGAATAACTCTGGAAGGAATCAATTTATAGAAAAATGATAAGAGACCTTTTTTGTAGAGCGTTAAATTTACTATAAAAATCTAAGATGATCCTTGACATAAGTTGATTTGATTCAGACGTATAAAATTTCAAAGTTAAAAAAAAAAAATTCCCATGTTATTTAAATGGGAAATAGAAAATTGCGATCCGCGACCTCTAAATCTTCAAATTAAAAGCTCAAATTTTGACGAGGTCTTTGTGTTGACATCCTCTGAAAGAATTTGCCGACCATTTGAAGAAAAAGAAAAAGTCGATTTTTTTGAAACACCCTAATAAATATCTTATAATAATATTAATCAAATAAATATTTTTTTCACAAAAATACCCACAATGTAGGTCCTACATACTGTATTTTATTAGAAAAATACCTGCACTGTCAACTCCAGGAAGGGGATTGCTTTGATCTTAGCAATAGGCCGAGAAGCGATACATAAGATGGAATTTACCTCACCTTTTAAATAAATGTTGTACCCCAACTCAAGCGAGATATATCTAAAATGTGCTTAAACTGTTGAGTGATCGCTAAAACCGGACAAACAATGTGCTATAAAAATGTGTAATATAAGCGTCATAAATGAGAAATATTAAAGCGTGCTAACAGTGTGTATAAAATGTGACATGCGTAAGATAGACTGAAGCTTTGCAAAATGTCTTTAAACAATGTACTAACACTGTGCAAACAATGTGCTAAAATATAATGTAATATAAGCGTGACATATGACAAACAAATAAAAAGAGTGATGTCAATGTACATAAAGAGTGAAAAAACTTAATTATTTCAAAAAGTGTGAAATTACCACAAAGTAGCGTGTATGCACATTGTTATAAAGACTTGCACTCCAAATACACACTTATCGCACACTTTTCATGCACGCTTCATTTTCGACAGGGTAGGTTTTTACAATAAATTTAACAGACGATTCTTTGAGTAGTTTTAAGACAAAAAGGTCATATATACATGGGTCCGCAAATGCTTTGTTTTCAAGATACATGGTGTTGAACTTTTTTTTAAATTGTTTTTTCGTAAATTTCTTAAATATCCTTCGCCCAATTTTGTTATTTGGCAGCGTTATTTGTAGTGTTAAGGGGCTAATTTAGCTCAAACTATAATAAAACCAATTTAGAAAAAGTTTAACACCCTGTGTCTTGAAAACGAAGCATTTGCTTGCCCATGTTTAGGGGAAGGTGGGGGAATTCTGCGCATCTAAGAAAAATCTCTAGTATCTTTGTTAAGTTTAAATGCGAAATTTTGCAATTAATACCAGCGATAGTCTACTATGTTTAGTAAACATTGTTTACTATGTGTATATAATGCGCAATTTATAAAAAAAATTGTTTGGTATGCAAAAACTACATTTTTTTAAATAAAGCCTTTGCGCAAAATTACCCACCTATCAGGGTAATTTTGCGCATCATAGGGGGAAAATTTGCGCTGTATAGAGAAAGATTTGTAGGTATCTAAATAAACCGTTTATTTCTATAATATTATTATATTAAAACATAAAAATAAAACAAAACTATTTTCTCTATGAAACAAACAAAACAAACAAAATCAAAAATAAATATCTAAAAATAAAATTTTTGTTTTTAGAAATAAGAGGAGGGTCTACATGCAGCAGTTGTCACATATGTAGTTTTAGGGGTTGTTTTTTTCGCTACACTCCGCGTGTGCCCAAATGGAACTGTTTATGATGAACAATCTAGGCTCCTGTACCAAAGCTCCCATATTGGCCAAATTTTGCAGCGCAAAATTACCCCAATTTTTCAGCGTAAAATTATCCCCATTGCAAGAAAAATATTGTGATACTAAAAAACTTTCCATAAGTTAACCTGAACAATTTAAACATACACCAGATTACGAGGAAAGATCATATAAAGTTGTGTTATAAACATTTAAGCGATTGGACAGAAATTTAAACTTAACTCGTAGCGGAAACGACGTGGATTTCTTAGATCAACGTACATGTATCACAGTTAGCTAGTGACCATGGTCACTAGCTAAAAGCTACAAGCTTAATTGCGGTACACTTTAGTCCCCGTAGGTATACCCAAAGCAACGTTTCCAAGTCTGCAACATTCAAAAAATGTATTATTTACTTCATATCTGGAAAATTGTTTATGCGTAAAATTACCCACCGCGCAAAATTCCCCCACCTTCCCCTATATGAACTTTTTGTCCTAAAATCACTTAAAAAATCGTCTGTTAAATACTTAAGTAAGACCTTGTATAGCAGTTACACAAAATTTGAGGAAAATCTGAGTCGGTGTGGTGACCTGCACTGTTTGATCCGACGTGAAATGACCCGTATTTCTACTACTGCACCACCTTGACACCCTTTGGCAAACTTGATTAGCAAACTTTAGGCTACAAAATATCTGAAGGAGAATTTTGCAATCAGTTTATTAAACTTTTTTTAAATGGGCTGATTAAAATCTTGATTTAAATCAGCCCAACCATAGACAAATTTGTCGACCAATTTAAATTTTGGTCTACTTTACTGTACTTATAGACAATGAGTCATGGTACATGTTTTTTAAAAACCTGTTCACTATACATTGTATAGTATACAACACTTCTGTAGGATCTCATTGAAGTGATTACAAAAAAAATGGATTTGGACAGAGATGGAAAAATATCTTTTAACGATTATAGGCAAACTGTACTGGCAAACCCAATGCTGCTTGAAGCTTTTGGTTATTGTTTACCATCAAGAGGAGACATTAATGCGTTCCAAACGACATTTACAAACCATGTGGGAAAAATGTAGCATTAAAAAAATTACCTTATCAGTGAAAATTTTTTGTATTATTTTCTCAGCTCTTGCAGTCTTCTCAGCGTCAGCCCTATGTTTTTCTTCAATCCTGGAATATATTATATTTTGGTGTAATAATACTTTTAAAATGCCCTATTAAATACTTTGCTTGTGCATGTGATGCTTTCGACATCATAAACTCGTGAATTTTCCTGTTTTCCTCCTCAATCTCTTCTTTTTTCTTCTGTTTCCATATTTCCTGAGCTTGCTTAAAAGCAATCATTTCTTCTTTGGTTTTTTGCATTTTGCACATTTTTTCTAACCGATCACGTTCATCTTCCTCATGGATCCGTTCCACAATGTGATCTATCATTTTCTTCTCTCGTAAGAACTCTTCGTACTTGAATCTTTTCTTCTTTTCTTGCCATATCATTTGATCTTGTAGTTCGTTTCTGTATTGTACAGTTTTCTTTAGTTTTTCTTCTGCCAAGTTATGTAAAAATACGGCTTCTTCTACTCTGGCTTTATTTATTAGATCTTGTTCTTCTTTCACTCTTATCTAAAAATTACAAGCAAATAAAAACACAATTTTCACCATCTACAAGTTTTTAAGTATTTTGGGGTCAGATCTAAATAACAACTAAAATAACACCAATACAAAGTTTGACAAAAGTTCAATGGTGTTGTTATTTTCGCTATATTAACCAGGAAATATAATTTCTTAAAGCCTGTCCGATAATTGGATGAATAAAATACAATGTAAGTATGTAAAATAATGATGGTCCGACGATTTTTAAATTTTATTTGCATATTTAGATTAGGGTTGCCATAAGCGGATCATCACCATTTTTGTAAAAATGACCATAACAATCGACAAATAAGTTAGGATTGGTGAAAATATATAATAATGGTGGGTTCGAAAAAGTTTAGTTTTGTTTTGACATAAAATTTGAAAAAAATACTCAAATAATTATTTTTTTTTTGTTAAATAATAAAAATATAATATAAATAAAACATAAAATACCTAACCAAATAAAAAACTTAAAAAGTTACCAAACTCTTTGGTTTAAAATCCAATCTTCTTTTTCAGATTTGCTTACTTGCCTTAGTAGTTCCGGTTGACTTTTCACATACCTACTTATAAAATTCTGAACAGGTGATGTTATAATTTACTTTGCAAAACATTATACTTTCAACAGTTTCTAAAGAAAGCCTATTTCGCTCTTTGGTCCACTGTCAAACTAACAAAGAGAAAATTCTGTCAACACCTGCATTATGGCCAGGAACAGCATATAAATATTGACACATCAAAAGTAAATTTGCCTTTTGCTCTTTAATACCAGTTTGCTGAAAAAAGAACAACCATTTATCATGCATAGATTTAGCATTCCAGACCGAAACATGTTCTAATTTAGTAATGAAATCTTTCAAGTACAATACTTCTTCAAAACAACAATCATTGATGGTTGTACCTTTTTCTTGTGAATAGGATATAGTTTTTTCAACTTCTTCCCACTCTGGTCATCCATGAAAAAACATTAAATTTGACGAGAGGAGCACTCCACTGTCGTAAATATTCCAATGCTGTTTTATAATAATCCTTAATTTCACCGTCAAATATTTTTATGGTATCAGTAAATTGAGGGTCTCTTTTAATTTTGTCGTACCTTTTTCGTCTGGATTCCAAGAAATGTTGACTTACTTCGCTCCAACAGAGTGCTTTCCAGATCTTGAATAAGTTCGTTTACCTCTGTTATGGTTATATGTGATTTTTCAATTCTCTTAATTTGCTTTTCAAACAGAAAAGATTGGCCATGCAAAAATAGAAAGTACACTTCAGAAAGAGGATGTAAAAAAAGTCCACCAACACTTTGGGTGGCTTTTGTTCGGCAAGAAAAAATTCTTCACAGGTTGCCACATATTTAAAATCCGTTCAATAGCTGGTAGCAGGGACAGCCATCTTGTTCTTGAATGCGATAATAAACTGGCATAGGTAATATCAGCATCCTTACAAAACGATTTCAATCGTTCATTACGAACAGTGTATATTAAAAAGTATTTATAAATTTTGATCACTATCGATTCGATATCTAATGAAAAAATATCAGCAATTCCTTCGCCTTCTCTAGAAAGTGACGTTTTTAATTTAATAAAAACATTATTTGTTCCCTGACTGTTTTGGCCTCCAAAATTGGTATTTGTATTGTCCGCACTATGTATATGCCGTTAATTTTTGTAATGGTATATTACATTTATTTAATGTATCCAAACAGAAATTAACTATACTTTCTAAAGTTTCATTCGGTAAAAATACTGAATTAGAAGGGGGAATAATTTATCTGACTTGTGATTTCTAGCGTCAGTAAGTATTCAGTAAAAAGGGATGTTTTGTAGGTCATTTTTAATAAGTTGAATTGTATGAGGTCCCAATATATTTTTTATTATTCCGGTAGCTTTCGTTCTGGCAGTTGACTGTTTAAACCAACCATTACCTTATTATAAATGATTCAATGAAGTATATTAATTCCTTTAAACACCAATATGCGATCACTAAAGTAAAAAATAACCAACAATCTGATAGCCACCGCCGACGGTGGTCTAGTAGGTTAGTGCATGCTGACTACAAGCCGGAGGTCGTGGGTTCGAATCCCACCAGGGGTATGGCTATTTATTTGTGTTTGTCCTATTGTGTATTAGTCCTTCGGAGGGGACTTTAAGCCCGCGGTCCGTTCCTATCCCTAACCCGCACAAGCCATTCAGTTGGCTTATGGGACTTCTTAAGAAGTAAGGGTGGAACTAAAAGAGCACTTTTGTATAAACTTTTTTTTTTGTATCTCCCACTACTATCTCCCACTACTCGCTTCACAACAATGAGTAATTGCAAAAAAAAGTTCTAGAATTTTCTTGATATATTATGAAATTAGGTAGCTGGTAGACCGGGACATTTGAAGCCCATACCGGGACACCGGGACAAAGCTCTTGATACTGGTGACATGTCCCGGTGTACCGGGACGTATGGCAACCCTAATTTAGATACCATTAATGGTTAAATTGTTGGATTGGGTTGGTTTAGGTTTCCTAATTGAGTTACCTAAACCAACCCAATCCAACAATTTTATGTAATATATATCCAACAATCCAACAATTTTATGTAATATATATAGTATGTATATATAGTATATGCTTGTACACCCCACCTTGACATTTGAATACAAAACGCTACCCTACTGAAAAATAAAGTCGGCCACCGTATGTCGACATTGATCCGACGTCGGAATAGAATCGGCCATAGGATGTCGGCCAGCAGACGTCGGACGTATGTTCGCACAAGCTCGAGTGGCTGATGTCGCTAGCGTGTCGCCAACTCATCTCGTACCGATGTATAAATGAACGGGGGTGGCCGATGTCGCTGATATGTCGACCAACGCATGTCGCACCGATATTAAAATAAGTGCAGGTAGCCGATATGTGAATGCGGGCATTCTTGAGGTTATATTATTTTTCTGTGCATCCATGCAACCATGGTTATAATTATAACAGTTTAAAATAAATGCCAGAACATGTTCTTCCAAAGTTTTTATCATGGAAAAAATAAAAAGGACTTAAGAGTTGTTTCAAAATAGAGCTAGAAATTTAAAAGAAAAAAAGAAATAAATTTAAGAAAAGAGAAGTTCAACCAGGCTCTGCGAAATTTAATAGTCTGAAGAAATAGTAAGTGGTAATTACTTGGACTTGACGATGACCATATACTAAGCTCCACACATTAAAGTAACACTTTGACCTTTTTAAAACTTTATTTAAGATTTGTGTTAAAGTATATTGACTTTTCATTTAAATTTTAAGTAAAATATTTAAAAAATATAAATTGTTTTATTGATTATAGTACATTGGCGACTTCGTTCCGATAAACATATTCCGAGATCATTGCGACATAAGATGGCCGAAGTCGACCCGACAGAAAATGTCCGAGCTCGTTCCGACAGAAAATTGCCTAGCTCATTTCGACATATTGTGACCGGGGTCGGAACGACATCGGCCAGCGTACGATTATGGCATCGCACAGTGGTCCAAAAGCCCAAAAACATGGTCAAAATATGAAGGTTTAGTTATATGTTTACCAAAACAGGGACTTAAACATTTTTGGGGTCACTGATTACGAATTTGATATCCTTTTTTTCAAAAACAAAATGGCGGATCCAATATGTAGGACATTTTTTTAACAAATATTCTGATATCGCTTACATTTGACAACGTGTGGTTTTTGAGGTCGCTAATTACGAATTTTATATTTATTTTTTCAAAAACAAAATGGCGGACCATTATGGAGGACATTTTTTTTTTCAAAAAAATGTTCTGATATCGCTCAAATTTAGCAAACTGTGTTTTATGAGGTAGCTGATAACAAATTTGTTATCCATTATTCCAAAAACAAACTGGCTTATCCAATATGGCCGACATTTTTCAAATAAATTTAGACTTTTTTTTGGTTTATGGGATTAGAAAACACATTGAATTTAAGATGGATAAACAAAATAACGATGCAAAATAAACATTTATTCAATGATTTAAATTATATTTATTCAACGCAATAAAAAACTATTTTTTTTATAAATTATTATGTGTACAAAATTTGCACACATAACTCACAAATTAAGAGTTATTTTGAGGGTTTCACTTTCAACTACTTGAGATTTGGTTAATGTAAAAAATAGGAAATTTGTAAATATATAACTCCAATATTCGCTTTAAGAAAATTGAAATCACAATCTTTAACGCTTTGAAATTTAAAAAAAAGATGATCCCTGAATCTTGCATTTACATTTAAAAATTTAAAAAATTTAAATTTATACTTTTATATATTTTGATTTTGTGTTATATATACATAATATGAATATTATTTGAATGTTATAATTGACAATTTTGTATACTTTAATATACAGTGCTTGTAAATCCAAGTCCGACCGCGTTGGGAAGGATGGTTGTTCAATACCCGCGTAAAAAGAATAAGGAGAGAATGCCAAACAGAATTTGATTGGTCAGAGCGGCAGGCGTGCGTATTGTAAGCGTCTTCTGTTTGGCGTTCTATCCTTGTTATTTTCACGCGTCCTTCCCAAACCGGTCGGACTTGGATTTGCAAGCACTGTATAAATATTTAATTGAAATTGTCTGTATTTTTTAATGTAAAACATTTAATTTGTAAAATGTCCTACTGATTTCTGAATTTTTTGATAAAACACAAAATCTGATATAGAGTTTATCTAGAGTATAAATCTAAAATAAAAAAATATTATACAATACTCACTGATTTCTTTTTACCACTTCCTAAATTTCCTTGCGTATATGTCACAGTACAGGGTAGTGCAAAGTAATACAAACATATTTAATACATAGTAATTAGCTTCGTTTAAGATACATTCTTGAATTTAAAAATATAAACACTTATTGCCTTAGAAACAAACACCCTGTACATAGATTTAGAACTTTTTTAAGAGAACGTTAGGTATAATTTATACCTTATAATTTATACCGTATAAAGGGGACAAGCGCCTAACCATTGTA